CAAGTGACCACAAGTGTAACTGCTCCCCACAGAAGGAAGAAAAGCAAGTTCATTCCTTTTTCCTACCTCTCCTCACTAGGCCGGATTTTTCTTTCATCTCTGCTTTACTGACCCTTTAAGTCCCACTTCAAGTGCCTGTTTGTCTAAGAAGCCAGTGTAATCAAACAAAACCAAAACAAGAACTGGATCCACAGATCCCCACGCTTAGTCATGTGCACCTATGTGTGACACCTGTAACTGATTTTCTGTTTAATTACAACGTGCACAGACTCTGTCATCCATCAGGGGTTTTATTTTCTTTACTGTCAAAATGCTCATTTTCCAACTCTTCCGAATTTTTATTTACGCTGATACTTTGCAACAATCTGAGATTTATATTATGCTGGCATTTCCAAATCACCTGTAATTCAGTGGTACACAGTGTCCAGAAAAGTTAAAGTTAATACACTCTTAGGAAACATTTCTAACTTACAAAGCAGCAGCAAGCAACCTTCGATTGGGAGACTGAATTACTCAGTGGATAGTGAGATAATACCTGTAAAGAATTCCTCTTTACCTGGAATTGGTTTGCATATTTTTAAAAATCCAGTTATATTTGTTTTGTTCAAATACACAAAACATATGACATTAGAGACATTTTCAAGTGTCCGTCCACTAAGAACATCATAATAATGTGGAGAATTCCAGGGACCCAGAAAATTTCAGGCACACAGAAAATCCAGACACCCAGAAGGAGAATTAATTTAGAAATCAGAATTCTAATTTAGAAATTAGTAATTAATTTGTCAATTAATTCTAGAAAATGTTAAATCTAGAAATGTTATGTTTATTGAAAATCATCTGGAATGTCTGGTAACTTATTACCCTAAAAGTCAGCTAAAACACGAAAGAGGTTTTCTTTTTTCTTACTTATGAACTAGTTACTTTTAGTCACTGTATTTATGGCTCTGCACTTACAGAATAACTAGAACATCCGAAGCAGATAAAAACACCAGAGAACTAAGCAGTATCATCCACATCCTTGGCCTGCTGAGTTTTTCCTATTATTATTAATTTATTTAAGAAAAAAAAATCTAGAGATGGTAACGCTCTTATAACTGATTATTCTGCCTAAGAAAGGGTTGAATAGGAATCTAGAGATACACACAGAAAATTCTACACGGGGTCCTCTGCCTACAGAAGTCACTGTTTCTTTCCCGAAGTCCTGGGCTGTCCATACGCACATATTGCTGCTTCTGAATTAGAGGCTGATTACATTTAAAATCATTCCGTGGGGGAAAAATGACGATATTTTATGATGTTAAATGGATTAATTAGGTGTATATACACAAGTTCTCTAAGTTGTCACTGTTTATATATTCTGCCAAGTTTATGAATATAAAAATCCAGCACTCTACAAAAGAACAAGGGACGCACCAGGAATGCCATGGTGGGCACAAAAAGATGAGACCCACACCTGTCACTGGCAGCGAGGCCCACAAGTAGGACTGGCCTGCTCAGGCCTCCCAGGTGAGGGGACCCAGTGGGTGCCACTGTCCTCTCCTTCCCCAGCAACTCTGTTCCTCCCCATCATTCCTCACCCACTGTCAGTCAGGGTTACACGTAATCCATTATTGCATGAAAATACAGACGTGATGTCAAAGAGGAGAAACACTGGTATTCTAAGACCTACAATTCAAGGAAATGGTTTTGAAATCAATCATAAAAATAATTAAGTATTTTCCAATTATATAACACTATACATTCCATGTGATATAAACTCAAATTTATCTCTACATTATCAAGAAACTTAATATTTAACTCCTTCTAACAGATTCAAAATCAAAATCCATATCTGACCCAGTTCCATAAGTAACATAAATTATGTTTGAAATGTAATTTTGAAATTATACTTAAAATTTTTTTAATTCACAGCAGAAAGTAGTGTTAACTCTATTGTATCCAAAGTTACAATTTAGGCTGATAAACAAAAACTTCAGCAATAACGCAATACCAAAAACCTAAAAATCTTTTCAGGTTTCAGAAAAGCCCAGGGATGCAGGCACAGTGCTGCTGCCCGTCACACAGACCTTCCTGCTCTCATCCGTGCTTGCATCTTAAATATGTCCAAATATTACTTCCCTGTGGAGGGCTGAAACACACCATTTATGACAACTCGTTTCCATTTAAATCAAGCCAATGCTAAAACAAAAACTCTACTGTATTGTCAAGTTTTCACTTGGTATGAGAGAAAACAATTTAGAGAAATTTCTAAAATTTAATCAGTAAACATCTTTAGAACACCAGTAGCATGTTTTAGGTTAAAAAGCCCCTATTTTAGGCAAGTAGAAAGGTATCTCTATGAGTATAGTTTAGTACAGACAACTAGGTTACCTGAAAAAAGGTACTGATCCAAACCTCTTTTACATTTCGGAATATACTTTGCAAAAGGTTACTCTCCAAATGGTATTCTATTTAGTATCATATTAAACTGGTATTGTAATAAATTGTTATTACTTGAGCAAATTTCATTCTCTGGCACAGGGAGCCACAGAAATTTATAAGCCACAACCAAATACTGAGATCACAGGTGAATTTTAATCTTCCTTCACACGAAAACTTCTCTATGAAGGAAGTGTGGGAAAATACTAACACTTAAGTTTCTCCATTAAATGCAAAGGAGCTTTATCATAGTTAAAACATTAAAATATTTAGAATTTGGCATATAATTAGAAAGAAAGAGGGAAAAATATTCTGTCATCAGTCAGTCAATGATAAAGAGCAAATAAACCAGAATTTCCCTGTAAAGTCAGAATACAGAATCCTCTTCTACATGGAGAAATGTACTATGAGACTAACTCAAGTTCATAAATTCAAGAAAAAAGTCCAATTTTAAATATTTCATCTTCAATACATAATCATCTGATCAACAAAAATTCTCAAACAAAAAATTTCCTCCACTGGGAAAGGGAAAAGGTCGACATCCTATTTCATATGCATCTTGCCTTTCATGTTAGGAACATACCTTTTTAAAATTAAAAAAAAAACACACACACAAGAAAACCACAAACCCAACAAGAAAGACTTCAAGAGAAACTAATAAATAATTACATTTCAATATCCCTAATTTTAACACAATGGCTTTCACAGAAACTTTAGAAAAACATCTGGCAACTATAAGCTCATTGGCTGCAATGGCCTCAAGTTCTATTAAATGCCAACATCCTTTAACTTAACTTCCTGAAAGAGATATAAAGAAACCATAAGACAGGAAATTACTAAATAATGGATTTACGTTGAAAAATCTAGCTCGGGGTAAAGTGAAGTTAACAGAGATATCCAGTGGTATATTCTATGTTTTACTGACAGACTTGAAGTTTTTCCTCCTGCTAAAACCATTCTGGGGTTTTTAACCTTCTGATTTGATCCCATTCTTCTTGTACTTAAGTTACAGAAAAAAGTAAAAACATTTTCAGCCCGTCAAGTGCTGCCAGCACTAGCTCTGAATCTACCCCAAGTCCATCTACTTCTTATCTCAATGTTTATCATCCAGACCAAGCCATTAACTATGTCAGCCCTAGACTATCATGAGAACCAGCTAAAACGCTCTGCATGCTTTCTCACTTACCCTTGAACGAACAATCCATTCTCCAGGGAGTAGCCTAAGTGACCATTTTAAAACATAAACCACATCCCATCATTCCCTATTTAATATTCTTGCAATGGTTTTCAACTCATCTTACGGGAGTCAAATGACAGCCTCCAAGGCCTTACACAACCAGGTCCCCTCCACAATCAGACACCTCCATCCCCGAGTGTCAAAACCACCTAAGTCCCTGTACTCTGCTTTAAACAAGCCAAGTTCGTTAGTACTTCACAGCCTTTTCCTGTCTCATTCCCTCTACCTCAAATGCTTATTCACCCCAGTAACTGAGCTGTATGGCTGGATCCTTCCCATAATTGTCGACTTGGCTGTATGACCTACTCAGGGAGGCGTTCGCTAATCATCCTATGTCAAGTTGCACCCACTTCCATCATACCTAACCTATCACTTGACTTATCAGGGTACAAAGCAAGTGCTCGAAAAGCAGTTGTAAGAATTTACATAGATGTCAGTATTTATAAGAAAAGTGCTTCAGTGGCAGGAACATGATACGTAACACAAGATGCCACAGCAGCGCTCCTGGATATTCTCCTGCACTGCATGTGTCTGCAACTTCAAACACACGCATGCTAGAGAGTCATTAACCCTCTCCTTTGGAAGTGCTAGGAGCATGATGTAAGTTACAAGCAATGTTTGTTTGCTCCTGATGCCTTAACACGAACAGTCCAAACAGAGCACCCTTCCAGAGGGTGGGGAATGGAGAGGCATCTCAACTGTTTGGGGGAGTGTTGAAGGCAGTGAACGCCCAACCTATAGCTAAAAGCAGCTGTGCCAAGGGGAGCCTTCACCTCTTCTATGTACACAAAGGGCTCACCGTTATGTCTAAGTAGTTACGCTTCATCTTGTTTTAAGTGGGTACAAAAGTCAGTACTTTTTATTTTAAAAATAAAAACAGACAACAAAGAAGCACAAGTTTAGTTACTTCAAAAGCAAAAACTATAGCGAATGCAATGTGAGAGCTGAATCTGAGTTGATTAAATCAGCGTTTAGTGTTTTTATGCGAATTGGTAAAATTCACTCAGGTTACCATATGCTGAACAGTTAAGCCTTGCAAAATTGTGGCATTTCTAAAGGAATAAGCAGTACAGATGCATTCAACTCCAAAGAGGACTGACTGACGTATTTCATAGGGTCCTTTTAGTTACTTCTGGAGTTGTTTTTGAAATTATTATTTTGAATATACATGCTTGAGACCTTTAGTGCAGTTTGTCTTTTTAAAACGATTGTGTCATTGCTCTGAATTACTAAAATATATTTCTACATTTTTCATCAAAATCACCGATTTTTACATAAGAACTTTTAGAATGGCGTGAGTCTTCGGACTAATGTGCGAGTGTGAGAAAAAGCCGGGGCGTACCAGTTGTGCACCATGAGCTTCTGCACGGCCAGCAGAGCGTTATAGCGGACCTGCTGGTCTTCGTGATGCATGTGGTTCATGACAAGCTGCTTCCCACCGAGCTGCTCGATGACCCTGCCAACAACAGAGACGTGGTGAGAGATGCAATTATTCTCAATTCAGTCTGTAAACAGGCAGCTCAAATGCCAAAACGCTAACGAGGAAAGTAACAATCTACGTAAATAAACCAAACACGTGTCTTTCTGAGCCACAGATTTACAATATTCAAATACTTTCTCTTTTGAATTCCTAATCATAAATCCAACAGTTGTTCTCGTTTCTCATGTCTAATTCAGACAAGTATCATCGGCCTAGACCTCACCCAGTCACGAGTATTTCAGATTCTGGTTTTCTAAGTGGTTGAGTATTAACACCTTTATTAATTTCTTGCTTGCATAATATCAGTATGAATACCATCTAATTTTTATAACAACAAACCATCAATATCAAGCCTACCAGTGACTGTACTGTGTGAATATACGGGCGTAGATGTAGACAGAGGGAACAGAGGGTTAAAGAGCAACCATGCTAATTTCCTGGAAAAGACCACTGATTTTAAGATATCCACCCCTTTCTCACAACAATGCGATATGCCACGTGACCTGGGCATGAGACAGAGGAGGACATGCATATCTTCCAGGGCACCGAGATGACCGACAACTGACACTGCTTTCTAGCACCACACTTCCAACACCCTGAAAATTCACTTATTACATACACAAAGGAAGTGAAAAGGGCTATTTTCTTCATGCACAGAAACAGGTCCTCTGCTCCCATGCGAAAGTGTGGTTACAGAGCAGTGGAGTCTCAACTCACACACAACAGTGTGGACTGCCCGGCCCGTTCTTCAGCCACCAGTCCTGTCTAGTGGAGGATACCTACTACACTTTCAGTGGCAAGTGATGCCTTAATGCAGTATGGTGGCTGGTGGTTTAAGACAATCTAACAGATCAATAAGGTTTCTGGGTTAGGAAGAACTAAGTAGATAGGGGTCAGAGTGAGAGGGAAGCTTTTACCTGCATACCTTTCCATATTTTATTCTTTAAAGCCTGGTTTTTTAAAAAATACATTGAACTGAGGGGGAAAAAAAGAATATAATATAAGTAAAATCAAACATTAACTGAGTGCTTACTGCATGCCAGGCACTGTACTTTAAAACGTTATCTAACATATCAGCTCAGCCATTTATCAAACATGTTAATTAGACAAGTCATTTACCTGGTAAATTCCTCCCTGACAAATAGTGAGGAGGAGGACATCTTTACAGCAGTGCTGTGATGATTGAAGGCCATAAAGCCCACGTCCCTGCAGGACGCTGAGCCCAGCCCTGCTGCGATGATGGCGATGATGACGATGATACAGGGCTGCCCTCATGCCTCCTACTCTCAATGTAGTCAAAGGGATCTCAGCAAAAAAAACTCTGCCTCTCATTTTCACTATTTAAAACTGTTCAGCAGCTTCTACTTCTCTTAATGAAAGAACTCAGGCCAGGCATGGTGGCTCATGCCTGTAAATCCTAGCACTTTGGGAGACCAAGCTGGGACAACTGCTTGAGCCCAGGAGTTTGAGACCAGCCTGGGCAACACAGTGACATGCTGTTTCCACAAAAAAATTAAAATAAAAAACTAGCCAGCCATGGCGACGTGCACCTGTAGAACCCCAGCTACTCGAGAGGCTAAGACAGGAGGATCACTTGAGCCCAGTTCAAGGATACAGTGAGCTGGACCAACAGGGTGAGCCCGTTTCTAAAAAATATAAATATAAATATAAATATAAATAAAACAAAAGGACCCAAATCCTTAAAATAGCTGACAAGATCTTTTCACAGTTGGCTTTGGAACCACTGAGCTTCACAGAGCACGGTCACAGGCCTGCCTCTGAGGCCTCAGCTAGCAGCCAACAGCACCATAGCTCCTACCTGAAGGAAGCTTCTCTGACACACGAGTTTTCTCCATAGGCATATAACAGCCTTCGGGCACTCAGAAACATTACAGCACTCCAGCAGTAGGTCTGCGGGCCATTTTAAACAGCAAAATCACTATACATGCACACAAAAACACCACAAAAATGCAAAAAAAAAGGTGGCACAAAGCAGACTGTGTAAAGGGCGCTTGTTTCTAGTATAAGAGAGAACACAGAATGCTAGCATGCTGCCTTGTCCCCACAGCTGGAAATGTGTCCATTAGTGACTCCAATAATTCACCACTCCATGGCTAACTGCAAAAGCACCTCCAGTATTGACACAGGTGTTGAAAATAAAACTTTTTAGGTGGGAAAATGGAATCAGTGAATAATCAGGACCAAAATGCAATCTCAGAAAACTGCCATGTGGTGAGCAAAATAGGACTGATTAAAAACACAGCTCACTTTGGGAGGCCGAGGCAGGTGGATCACGAGAGATCGAGACCATCCTAGTCAACATGGTGAAACCCCGTCTCTACTAAAAATACAATAAAATTAGCTGGGCACGGTGGTGCGTGCCTGTAATCCCAGCTAGTCGGGAGGCTGAGGCAGGAGAATTGCCTGAACCCAGGAGGCAGAGGTTGCAGTGAGCCGAGATCGCACCATTGCACTCCAGCCTGGGTAACAAGAGCAAAACTCCGTCTCAAAAAAAAAAAAAAAAACCACAGCTCACATACCATTTACAGTAATAGCAAATGTGAGCACTTTCTCCCATGCTGGGCACTGTGCTGAATGTTGGTATTTTTCATCTCATGTACTTCTCACAACAAATACAATGCTTAGCAAAAGCAGTGTTTTTGACATTCTAAACGCTTGTTCCTTATTAACACCAGCCAATAAAATTTTGAAGAGCTTTTAATGATTGATATTATATTTATTTATGAAGCATTTAGGAAACTACATTTTATTGCTCTCCACCCCAGAGCCCAGCAGGTCTCATACCAAGTGGATGATCTCACCCCCCTGAAACTCACACTGCTATTGAAATAAACAGACATTTCTCATCTTCTCGATTTCAGATGCACTTGAAGTACCAATTATTTTCAGATAATACAAATGCCCAATATCATGAACACTTGAAAAAAGGTGCGAAAAGAATCTTTCTGGCTCAGAAGTCCTCCTATCATCTCACTAAATCTATTTGAAGGGGCCAGCAAATAACCAGAAATGTTTATACAGATGTTAAGTCTGTTTTTATAATAATGAAAAGTTAGAAACAAATTACATGCCCAGTAGTAAGATTTGAGTAAACTAGAACATGTGGACCTATGCATAGCATTAAACCATATTTTTAAAACTTTGTAGACGGAAAATATCCATGATAAATGAGGAAATGGAGGAAATAAAATTGGAGATGTCACATATCAGTTTCTGAAGAAAAAACACACACTATATATGCATGGGACAAAATTAAAAAACGATTTTTATCTCATACTTTGTAGTATTAAGGATGTAACTTTTTCCTCGTTATTCTTTTCTGTATTTTTCAAGTTTTCTATAATGAGCGTTTGTTACTTTTCATGACTGTAAATTAATAAAAATTAATCCATAAAATGTTTGTGCCACTATCAAACAATTTAATTTGAATTTGCATGTGCTGTGCTAGGCTTTTACAAAGGAACATAGAGATATTTACCAGAGAGAAAAGTCTGTATTTTAAGCGAACAAGCATAATTCTTTTGGTTTTTTTTTCCCCTCAACAAATACACTCTACTGTGTGGCAAACACTGTCTAGGCAAATACAAGCAGCTCTTCAGAGAGGTTCACAGTCCAGTGAGGTGAAAGAGACATCATCACACTGTCACTGTACAAATGGAAAGTGTTACACAATAGAAGCATTAATATATTCAGAATCCTGTGGGAGCACAGAAAATTGGACATTTGTATTTGGAATCAAAGGCGATACAGTGGTTTGTCAGATTAAACAGAGAATATCAGTGAATATGTTAGGTTACAAGTAACAAAAACTTTGCCCTGTCTGATAATTCTGCAGCAAAGCAGTTTATTGAAAGGTGACTGGGTATGGCTTGGAAGGCTGGACAACTGTACGTGAAGGCTGGCCAGGGTGAATCACCCTCAAAATCACGTAGTCCAGCGAGGGTGCTGTTTCAGCTCGGCCCTGGACCCCGCAGCTCACTTTGTTCACAGCTACCCGGAGCTGCCGCCCTCCCCCTCCTCCTGGAGCTGGCTGTCCCCCCTTCTCCTCTATCTCTCATTCCTGCCGGAGGTCTGGGGTAGCTATACTGGCTTACAACTGAGCTTTTAGGCCATGGGCATGTGGCTAAATGTAAGCAAGGACAGCAAAGTGAATTTCTGTCATTTTAATCCTCTGTAACAGGAGAGATCACATGCCTTGTAAAATGGGGAATTCCTGGAACACAGGAATGTGGTTTAGACGCCAGACTCCTTTGAAGAAAAGGTGTAGCTGTCCAAGCCCTGTGAGGAGTTTGATACAGCTTCCCCAATGTCACAATGTTGTAATTGTTGAAACAATATTCGCCACACCAGTCTTGTGCTATTAAGTCATACATGCAAAGGGGCACATTCCCTAAGGATGAATGCTGGGCGTTAATCATCATGGGGTGACTTCTCACCTTTTATCAGGGGCCACAGGTGGTCTGTGCCTCCTGAAGGAAAAGCAATGGAACACGGCTATTCCTGTACATCGTGTATATTTGAAAAGTAAGATTAATAAATGCTCAACTGTGTTTGAGTCTCAGAATGTTACCATCTTAAAGCTTACAAGTCCGTTAAAAGAACTCAATTGGCCAGTACAGTTGATAATGTAAGTTCATTTATTTTTGTGTTATTTGCATTTATTGATAATTATTAAATTTGCAACTGGGGAACAATTAACTGTCATGTTATGCTCTGCACCCAAACTTACAAAAACAAGTAATTGGATCAAAAGTGTTTCTTTGAACTACAAAAGCCGTCATGAAAATAACACACATGTAAAACAAGAGTGAAAAGGGCTACAAACCTGAGCCACCCCGATGGTGAGCAAAGAAAAGCATGGATAGGAAATACAATGTTTCCGTACAGTGAATCCTCACTCAACATCAATAGGCTCTGGGAAACTAACTTCAAGTGACATGACATAAAGCAAGCAAAGGACATTTCTCGAGAATCTGCTGTCACTTAAAATCTCAGTTTCCAAGAACCTATGGAAGACAAGAGAGTACTTACTGTAGCTAAGAATATATCAATGGACCAGCAAAACATTTACTTGCAGTCTCCAGAATATTTGTCATAAAATTTTGTCAACTGACAAATGTTGTTTGAGATGGAGAAAAGATCAAAACTCTGCCAGAGGCAACATTTTGACACTTCATTCCTGAGAAACTTGTAAAAAGAAAGAGTCCACCACGAAGTTAATAGCAAACATAATGTCCTTAGAGAAGCGAAATTCAAGGTGAACAATCCCACGATATCATCAAAAAGCCCAGAACAACTGCTATGGCTTGACGTAGCGACAACTTCACTGGACAATCGAACTGCTACTGATTTACCTGCTTCAACAAACACTTAAAGAGCGCTTACTATGCGGCGAGCACGACTTTACATGTTTTACATTATTATTAATGAGTATTAACTCACTCGCTCCTCATATTCACAGAGGAGGAAAACAAGGAACAGAGAGGTTAAGGGACTTGCCCCATCTCCCGGGTACTAGGTGGGAGAGCTGGGATCTGAAGACGAGCAGGCAAGTTCAGTGTGGGCCCTTACGCGCTGCATGACTCTGCATTGGTGTCTGTGAGCCCCTTTGCTAACCTACTCCATTTTGGATCAGCACATCATTTACGACTCTACACTGAAGGTTTCAAGAAACCAGACGAAATGAATGGCTTTCTCTTACCGTTTGCCTCGTGGATAATGCCGCACATATTCTCCAACATCATGAGCAGCAACAGCTAAGACTTGGGGATCATCTGACACCTCCAAAAGTTTTGTCAAGATTCTGAAATAAATTTTATCCAAAGAGAGATCAAGTTCTAATTTTTCTATAGCGCACAACAGAGCACAGGTACAATGTAGATATCTTCCCGAAAACAGACATTAATATATTAATATTCTTCTAAGGATTTCACTATTACACGTAAGTTTGCAGTTTTTTGTTTTTTTTCCTGCGAGGAGTCTCAGTCTGTTGCCCAGGCTGGAGTGCAGTGGCACGATCTCAGCTCACTGCAACTTCACCTCCCAGGTTCAAGCGATTCTCATGCCTCAGCCTCCTGAGTAGCTGGGACTACAGGCACATGCAACCATGCCCAGCTAATTTTTTTTTTTGTACTTTTAGTAGAGATGGGGTTTCACCATGTTACCCAGGATGGTCTCAATCTCTTGACCACCACAGCCTCCCAAAGTGCTGGGATTACAGGTGTGAGTCACCACAACTGGACCTAGTTTGCAGTTTTCAAACCTTTATACATATATAACAAGTTTATTTCACATTCACAATGTAGAACATGCACAATTTCCAAAATATCAGGGATAAAACTATTTTTTATCCAAAAAATAGTTTTCCCGCTCAAAAAACCTAGAACATGAATAAAAGTTAAAACACAAAACTACAATAGATCTTTGCTAATTATATTTTTTAATAAGCCATTTGTAAACCCGAGGAACTAATGGCAGTACTGGGACAAGTGACTTTTGGTGCTCGATGATAAGAGGGTGGACTGGCACTAAGCACACATCTTCCCCTCTCTGTTGCCCCAGCTCTAACAGAAGACTAGAACATATACTTTCTAAAAAATAAAGCCCAAAACAGCAAGGAAATGTTTCTTAGAAGATGGCAGCCCAAATCTACCATCCTGTCACCTTGCCCTTCTGGTACCTTCTCCAATGCAACCACATAGAATAAATTGCTATTGGAGCCTGACGGGTACTTCTGAGTAAAGCAGCCAGGAACCAGTAGCAAAGAAGGCTCCGCTGCCCCAGCTTCTGCCGCCCTTCTCAAGGACCACCAGGGAGTGGGTGCAGCTACCCAAGATGTGCATGTGCCCTTGGAAGTGAAAGGGAAGAGAGACAGTGCTGCTCAGAATCCAAGGGGCTTGGAAAGGACGACCTTCCTCATGCATGCAAGCAGAGATCATTCAAGGAACAGGTTGTTCCTCTGTTATTTTAATACTCAAGGGCCTAGAAATAGATGGAAACGTTCTCGATTCATTCTAAAAGCAGAGCACAACTGTGATAACCAGTCAGAATGAATATTTTTTAAATGGCCTGGTAGAAGACCAAACAATATCTTTCTAATAGTCCAGTAACTCAGAAAGACACATAAAAACCTTAGCAGATTAGCAAACTGAACCCACTAGTACACTGAGAGACAATATTCAGTTTTCAGCTCAAATGTCATCTCTTGCATAAGAGCCCAGGATTACCCTACAGCAGTATCCTCCCCATCATTCTTTTCCTACTCCACTTTTCTTCATGGTACTAATCACCACCTGCCATTTCAATATATATTAAGATAGTCATGTTAAATGACTTCAAGTCATAGGAAGTAAAAATAGACAGGTCACAGACTAACACAGTTAGTCTGATGACATCTGTAAGTAACGGTATATGAAGATGTAGGTGAGGTATGTCTAGGCACTGAAAGAACACCAGAGACTATGGCCTGCGGACCCTATTCCTTCTCGGGAGGAGTCCGAGATTGAACGGCAGTGAAGAAGCTTTTCTACTTTAGTTCTCCCTGCCTTCAAGATGAAGCAAGACATACATTCAGTTTTTCACGTATGTATCTGTATTTTTTAACATTTCAAACTATGTATGTTTTTAAAAGGACAACTTGCAAATTATTCTAAAATTAAGTTAGATTTAATTCAACTGAAACATTTTGATAGTTTCAAAAAAATTACTTCTATGTTTTTACTTTGATAATTTAAATAAGAATTTTTATGAACTTATATGCAAATTACATTAATAAAAATTCTTTAAAATATAAATTTGTTCTCAAAAAAAAAGAAAAATAGCTCAGAGCCATCAGAGCTATGTGAAATATATAAAACTTATCACACCCAGAGACAAGAGTGTGGGTTCAAGGGCAATTATTTAAAGGCATTACTGGAATTTGTGATACAAAGAACAATGTACAGCTATCCAACAGCTGTTGGACACATCATTTTAATGTAAATTCTTGGCAAATGACTTAGGAACTGCCTCTTCTTTTTCCCTTAAAAGCCCACTTGTAACTGCGACCAACTGGAGTGTATGTATATTCAAGGCAACCTGAATCTATGCTCCCAGACAGCCGTCCTCAAGCTCTGAGCTCGAACGATCTCTGTATTTTATTTTATTCTCTGAATTTCGTTATTTAAAACTGACATTCTGAATACACCAAACCAGAAGTCAGGAAATAACAGCTCAAGTCCAAACCTGGATGCCACCTGTTTCTGTAAATGCTTTACCGGAGTGCAGGCTCATTAGTTTACTTGTTGTCCATAGCTGGCAGGGCAATGGCAAAGTCAAGCAATTTGGGACAGAAACGAAATGGTTCAAAAAGTCTAAAACATTTATTTCTTGGGCCCTTACGGACTCACCTGGCCAATCCCTGCCTTAAACCATTCTCAGTGACACCCAAAATACTGTGTACACACCAGCAGCATGCTGATTAGAAATGCTGATCACAGACCCTAATCTAGGACTGAGTTAGAATCTGCATTTCAACAAGACCTCCATTAACATTTGAGAAGCATAGCCTTAGAGTCAAATGTTTGAACTAAAAGGAATCACAGAGACTTTGTAGTCAACTCTACAAAATGTGAACATGATTTTCATTGTTACCCTTCAGGACCATTAATTAAGTCCACTGAATATCTTTAACCACAATGAAAACATCATTGTATTATTATCGTAAACCTGCTGAGCATGCTATTTCTGCATCAAATCAGCAACAATGTTCAAAAGATCAGGTTCAGAAAAAGAGATTTATGGTATGCAATGAGAGAGTTCCCTCCTAGATGTCTCTGAACACAGTTGTTAAATCAACAATTAACCACAAGCCCTGATTCTACCAAATAGTCCAGTAGATCCAGGCAGCAACACACCACAGCTACGTAGTTAGACCAAATGCGAATTCTGCCTTGGCATTTACTAGATGTGCCATCTTGAAAAGCGTCTGTTCAAATCAAATTATCCTAATTGATCACTCAACAAATATGTTCATCCTCTTTCACAATGTTTTCCCTCAGTTTTAGAAACTTAGTTTGATCTCTCGGCTTTTGATTTTTTTCTATCTCAATGGCTTCTTATATTTCAGAATATTTCCATATTCAAAATATATATTTATTTCAAAACTACTAACACACAAACTACAAGGTATTTTCTGTATACTTCAAAAGTGACAGAGGGAAATATTAACTTATATACTTGCTGAGTCTGGAATTACCTGACTTGAGTGCAGTTAACCACAGATTAAAAAGAAGACCGGCATGCATGGTGCTTTTTAAATAGCAAAATCAAATAAAGAGTTCATCAGATCTATCTTACTGGGCGGCACTAGTACCTTTCTATCATTCATCTCATGCAGATAATTTATAAGAATGTAAACTAAAGAATGCCAGGTGACCATCAGGTCAGGGGGTTGTTAAACTGCCTCTCTAAAATAATAATTGGCTGCAGCTGGCACCAGGGGAAGACCGCTCCCAACAGACAGAAGACACCTGAAGCTGGTGATCAGCAGCTTCCCAACAGTATCTCAGGAGTGGGGTGGGCCGGCTAAAGCATGTGCACTGAGGTGCAAAATGGCAGAGTTGAACCCGTATATGACTTTCCTCTAGGAATGCTCAACTGGAAAGGGAAAAAGGCCTCAAGTGAGCATGTACACAACCTTCAGTAAACATAATGTGCATATGGCCCCTCCGAAGTGCTGGCAAGCCACTGAATATGCAGACAGCCCAGCCCAAGGGAAAAACCTAGGGAGGAGAAACAGAAACCCCAGAACCACGCCAATGTACAAAACCCCAAGTCAAGGGCAGAACAGGGCACTTGGATCTCCCAAGTCACCCACTTGACCCTCTTCCAAGTGTACCTTCCTTCCTTCATTCCTGCTCTTATTTTTAAGAAGCCTTCACTCCTGCTCTCAAGCTTGCTTTGGTCTCTCATTCTGCCTTAAATCTACTTCTGCCCCTCAGCAGAATTATTTCCTCCAAGGAGGCGAGGATTGAGTTGCTGGAGATCCATACAGATTTATCACTGATAACAGCCCCGCTGACAGAACAGACTTCCTTCCTGGCCAACCGGACCCCAGAGAAACCTCAAACTGAGTTTCAGGCTATGATGGGAAGAGGGGTCGTTTTATACTAATGGTGGCCAGTTGTGCCTTCTCTTTGGAGAGAAGTAATCAAGTACCCTTTCTCAGGCCTAGATTGCTTTTCCCAAGATGGTGGTTACTCATATTGGCTCAGAAGAAACCATTTAAAGATATTTTATAGAGTTTGATTTTTCCATTAACAAGAATAAAAACGAAAGACAAGGCTAGACATGGTGGCTCACACCTGTAATCCCAGCACTTTGGAAGGCCGAGGCAGACAGATCACAAGGACAGGAGTTCGAGCCTAGCCTGGCCAATATGATAAAACCCCATCTCTACTAAAAATACAAAAAATTAGCTGGGTATGGTGATAATGTGCCTGTAGTCCCAGCCGCTGGGGAGGCTGAAGCAGGAGAATTGCTTGAACCCAGGAGGCGGAGGTTGCAATGAGCCAAGATCACACCACTGCACTCCAGCTTGGGTGACAAAGCAAGACTCTGTCTCAAAAAAAAAAAGAGAAGAAAAAAAACTAAAGACAAACAATAATTTCAAATTTCTCATCATCATATAAACGTAAAAGAAAAATACCTATACCATTGTTTCTTGTTATTCAGAAAAGTCACTGTGTCGTACAAAAGCAAAGGAAGTAATCTGAAGAAGCCGTAAAAATGAAAACCTAACACCAGAAAATAGAATGTACCTTT